CCGCGTCCCCCCCCCCCCCCCCCCCCCCCCCCGGCATTTTATCCCTCTGCTTTGCGGTTGACGGTTTAACTCGTCAAGTAAAGTCCCACGGTCTACCGTAAGTGTTCGCCTGCCGGTGGGGGGTGTGCCCGGTTCTTCTGCTGAAAACTCAAGCCATTTTTTTCACTTCTCAAGATGAGGGTGTAGTGTCGTGCATCCCCTCCGTGGGTTTGCGTCAAGATGATGTCCGCTATGCCTTGTCGGTGCCTTGTTCCTTCCCGCTATCCTCGATCCACGTCCTTGCCCCTCTCCTTGCACATTCGTGGACTCCAAGCCAACGTGATGCACACCTGATTCCGAACAATTCATATGCATGCATCCAACAAGACCTCACCCGGGTGTCATCCCTCTCTATGTATATGTCTGACTCCCGTCCACCTCTCGCCTCTGGTCTAACCTCGCCGCCGTTTTGACGGTTCAGTCTAAGATGGCGCCGCTTCAAGCGTGCCTCAAGGAGGCCGGAGACTGCCGGACCCGCGATGACTTCGAGAACCACACCAAGGCCATCGGGGAAGCCATGGGTGAGAGGCGAGACAAGAAGCGCGCGTGCGTAGTACACAACAGCAAGTCACGGGGCCCTGGCGATACAAGCAGTATGGTGTGATTTTTCCAACGGTTGGGGGAGAGATTCAGAGAGTCCCACGTATGGCGTGATAACGCACTGTGTGTGATGCCACGCACCAGTGCCGTAAGCCACGGGTCAAGAGAGACGGTAAACCCGCATTTGTTGTTTAAACTTGGACACACTGGTGGATCTACAACAGTCTATACCGGGTGTGCACAGCCCGTGGAAGTCCACGAAGAAGTCGAGACGGATGCTGTACGTACTGCGCCTATTGACCTTGCGTGAAATGCTGGTTTTCGTGTGGGGTCTCTTTCGGATCTTGGTTGTTGTTTTGTGCAGGATGCGTCTCTTGGGTGATGATGTACCCCCCGGCCGGTCTGCCGAAGGACATGGTAGAGCCCACCATCGGAGGTTCGGACTACTGGGCCAACAAGGTTCGGATGCAGTACCGCAAGACTAACCCTGAACAGGTGAGCGACTGCTGGGCTTTTGCTAGGCACTTGCTAAGAATGTTATAGCGGAAGTTTCAAGGGCGTGTTGTGTTCTTTTGGATGCTTGCTTTCGGATGTGGGTGATGTTTTGTGGAGACTTGTCGATGTGGAGAGCTTGATAGCGGCGGGTGCTTGGCATGGACGCGGCCGGCGCGGGCGTGTGTGTTGCAGGTGTTGTGTCGTCTCCGCCCTTGCGTGCGTATATCTCAACTTTTGCTGCCCGTATTTATGCCGAACAACTGTGTTGCAGTGCCTCTGAACCAAAGCAAACAGACGGAAACGGGAAGCCCTCTCGTTCCTTTCGTCCATGTCAGGGGTAACGTGTGTTCGAACTAAACCGACGCTCCCCCAAACGAATGGCGTCTCGCAATACCTTGACTGCGTCGTTGCGCTTCCTCCCCCTAGCTGCGTGCTCCGTTGCCAGCCCCCCCTCTCCACAACGTCAGCAGCACCCGCTCAACCATCTACCCCGAGCGTAGCTTCGTTTGGTGCAGTCAAGAAATCGTTCTTTTCAACCTACCCTGCATATATTGTATCACGTTGTCATGCTTGAAGCAGGTGGCGTTCTGCGACACCCTCAAGGCGCTGCTGACGGGGCTGCTAGCCTACGTGCAGGCCAACCACAAGACCGGACTGGAGTGGAACCCCAAGGGCGGCGACTGCGCGGCCTTCTCCGGCGCCGGAAGCGCGCCCCCGGCACCACCTGCGGGTGAGTGGTTGAGGGACATTCTTCACAGTGGCCGTTGCTGTGTGGGGGTAGGGTGGTAGGGTGGACGGATGCTCATGGTCGTCAAGGTTCGGGGGAGTGGTCCATCACCCACCAGTTGGTTGGTTCAGAGTTGCATTGAACCAGCCAGAATGGGTGCAATTGTATGCAGAGCGCGAGCCCGAGGTTTGAGACGATTTGCACCTAACCCCTAATCGTTTCGTGACTCCTGCCACTGTCTACCGTCCAAATCCATGTTGTTGCTGTGATCCCGGTCGTCCACACACAACGAGAGAGGAAGCGAAGCAGGGGGAGGGTAACGGCGAGGACAAAGAAAACACTAAAACAAGCGACAAAGTTAAATCCGTTAGGTGCCCGTCCCGTGCCCTTAATTGTTTAGCTAAGTTGTCTAACCTCGACCCCCCCCTAAAACACCCCCTCGCAGCAGCTGCCAGGGCCGCCGCTCCTGCGCGACCTGCCATGGGTGGCGGCAGCAACGCACTTTTCGGCGAGCTGAGCAAGGGCCTGGCGGTCACCTCTGGACTCAAGAAGGTGACGTGACCTGGTTCAGTGTTTTGGCGTGTGTTGCTCGTATCGGTTGGCGTTGTAACGGCTGAACGTGACTTGCAGCGCATGTTCTGGGCGCTTGTGCCTGGGTTTGGAATATACCGACTACGCTTTTTCGTGTTTTTGGTCCAACTTTTTTTTGATTGGCGGCAATACTGATTCGGATTGTGGTTGTTTTCAGTCATTTTTGCAAAGTAGGAAGGAACAATTGGGTATTTGTGATCGGTTCCACGTCGAAACCAATTAGGGAGGTGTCTACCAGCCAGCCGCAACCACCCCTCTCTGGTGTGTTTTTTCTCCTTCCGCGAATAGTTGTGGTTTTCCCCTCCGCCACGAGGGGAAATCACACGACCACAGGGTAAGTAGTTTCCGAACTATTCCGCGGCGCCTCCTCACCTCGCGGGCTTTCTCACGCAGTTTTTTTTCCCACCTTGGCTTGTGTCCAGGTTACGAAGGACCAGCAGACGTGGCGGAAGGAGTTCAAGGCGGATGAGGCGGCACCGACGCCTGCCGCAAAGGCCGCACCGAAGCCCCTTGCTTCCGCCAAGGCCGGGGTAAGTGGGACAAGAACAAGGTTGACTCAAAGCAACGCGCCACTTCGACCGCCGTCCAATACGTTTAGAGGCCGTTTGTCTCGATTCTAGGCGACATTTGCAGACCCATGGCGAGCGATACCGATAGGGTGTGTCATTTTGGGTGGCTTTTTATATCTTCAGGTTTGGGGACGCAGTGTACACGCTGCGCGCGAGGGAGAGGGGGGGGGGGGTACTCATAGTCGTGCATGCCGTAGTCGTTAGACCGTTGACCTCGCATCCCTACAAAGCCGGGACGGAGCACGCCGGGTTCTCACCGGACCAGGCTCTCACATCACCAAGCGCGAAGCGCCGTGAGATATTCGGCGAGTCGCATGAAGGGTGCGCTGCATCCTGCTAAGGGTTTTCGGCATCTTGTGCTTACTTCCTTGCGTACGGATGACAGCTGCGTATGAATTAATTTATTTTCTGGTGCTTTCACTTCCAGAGACAGTTGTAAGCACTGTGTAACTGCATCGAGGGTGCTTGACCATTTAACACAACGTGGTGCGATCATCCCCCATGCGCGGAGTTAGGGTTCTCGACCCCGCACAACATGATCTACTCGACCATTATAGTTACCGCCAAAGAAAAAAGAGGCAAGAAAACCCCCAGTAACCTGGTTGCCGAGTTCACGAAGTGAATTGGCTTGTTT